AGAGTTAGGTCTGTGTGAGCGGGAGCATTTATGTGCTTTTAAATAAGCGGGGCAAAAAAAAAGGAGATAAAAAAATGAAAAGAGAAAAAAAGGGACTTTTAACAACACTTTATTTACATATTTCAACACATATAAACAACTGACGTGAAACAAGTGTCAGTTAAAAATCACCACTAATGTATAAACAAAAAGTTTCAGCTAAAAATCTTTAAATGATGAGCTTTTTAAGTTGTAGTTGTCCTTCATTTGACACAGAACATAAAATGTTGTTAAAACCCCACAGCTGAATAAAATCCTCCATGTTCTGTGTGTCTCAGTGGAAGAGAAACTCCAGCCTTATTCTGGGTTTAACCTTCCACAGAGCCACAGCATTAAGGTGAGCTCCCTCCTGCAGTCTGTTTCTGCAGGACAGGTAAACGGCCATCTTTGTTTCAACGATTAAACAATTTAAAAGTCGGGCCTTTGGTTTATTTCTTCTATTTTTGCAAACTCCTGTACAAAAAACGTTGGTACAAAACGTCCGGCAAGACTAAAAAACACAAATTAAAAGGCTAAAAATGGTCTTCAGTCTTGTGCATTCCATAAAAACCTGGAAAACGTTTTCAGACGTGCAGAAAGGACACTCATTTAAGACACCCTGATTAATAACCGATAAAAAAAAGTTTGTGGCGATGGTACCCTGTGAAATCCTCCATTGGAGATCACCAGTTTGTTTTTTGATTGGAGGCTTGCATAAAGTCCTCCACCGGGTGGATTTTCCATGAAGTTTTTCAGTCCAGATGCAGACTTCTGCCGGTTCTGAAGATGTCAATGGTTAATGACTTTTGGAAAAAGGAGTTAAAAAAGGAGAAAAAATAGAAAGAAAGAAAAAGGAGAAAAAAAAAGGAGGAAAAAAAAAAGAATCTAGAGTTATAGTTGCTTTTCAACCTGGTTTATCCTTCAACTTTTTGCTTTTCTCCATTTTACATTTCAACAGGTCCAGTTCCAGTGTTTGTAAAATATTTTTCTGTAATTTTCTAACATTTTCTCTTTTCTTTTTCACAGAGTTTTGGCTGTTTGACAGCTATGATGGTTCCTTGAATCACATGTTGTCTTTCACAGTACTTGAACTTTATGGTCTGACTCAGGGGCGCCGCCAACATTGATATATATATATATATATATATATATAATAACTAGAACCAGAAAACAACTAGAATGAAACAAAATGGAAATAAAACCTATGAGACGACCCAGAATCAAATTTTAACTGAAAACTTAAAAATAAAACCTAAACAGAACCAAAAAGTCCAGAAAGGGCAAAAACCTGAAAAAAAGGACAAAGGAGAATTTTATTTTCATCATCATTTTAACCCCATGGAGGTTCCCACCTCCCATGGATAGAAAGCTGAGCATCATCTAATGATTTTAGCTTTTACAGAAGCAGCATCTTTAAACCCGGTTTGTGTTGTGATATTTAATACAATAATGATCTTTCAGGTGTACACCTCTTCAATAAACTATAATTGTTCAGCCCTCTTTAACTGTCGTCGGGTAAAATTTGGTGTTTAGAAAAGCGGCTGAATAAAAAGAGTCACTTAGCACAAACACAATACAGTTAATCTTAAAGGTTTTGTCTCACATTATTATACGCTACAAAGAGGTTGTTAAATTTTCCATGAAAACTGTTTCTCTATTCAAACCATGTTGATCCTTTTTGCACCAATTTACACACATTTACACAAGGAGCTCCATTCCTTCCTCCTCCTTCCCAATCATTCACCCTCTTGTTATTGTCTGATGCTATTTAAGTACCTGATGCAGATGTTTCTAATCTCTGCTTGGTTTTTTGTTTATTGTTGGCTGTTTTGGAACCATGAAAAAAGTTGAGGCTCACATACTGAGGGGATCCAAAGTTGCGCGATTCCATGATTTCACAGTGAATTCAAAACATCCTGTAAACACAAAAATGAACCTGACACACAAAGAATAAATGCTGCAAAACAACTTCAAGTTAGGACAAGATAAAATTACAGAGAATAGAAAGCAACAAAATGGAAACCTGCTGCAAATACCAAACCGGCTACAAAAACATAAATGATGCATAAATGCTGCATGTAGCAAAAATAGCTGCGAGTTAAGAAAAGCTGCAGATTAAACAGAAACATAATGGAAGAATGAAAGACCACCAGGGACCAGAACAGAGTTTACTATGAATAAATGTTAAAGGGTCAAACTCTTATTATAAAACAGAAATGGGATGCCATCCAGAGAACATCTAGAGCAGAGGTCAGGTATTAGAGGACCGCGGTCCGGATCCGGACCCAACCTGATTTAAAACATTTATAAATTACCACATGTTGTCCAACAACAGAGTCTGACCCTGAGATCCCACATCCTCTGTCTTCACTCCGCCCCGCTGCGCTCCAGACCAGATGCAAAGTAAAGCCTACAGCCTCCGCTTTGCTTCTGTCTTCCTCCCCTCCGACGTTCTCAGAGCTATTATTATTAAATTAATTGGAGCAAAACGTGCAGAAATGAATGCTTAATTTAATATGATATATGATATAATCCCCACCATCATCATCCAGCAGATGTTCAGTTTCTGCTCAAATATTTTCGTTTTGTTGTGAATTTTTGTAACGAATAACTAGGATCATCCATGGTTTGTATGAACTATGTTTATTTTCTGCTCCCAAACTCAGCATCTCTTCATCCAGGCCTGAGATGAGAAGTTTGTTTTGAAGTTGTGAGAGGTGCTCTTGGGTGTTTTGACTGGATTTGATGAAAATTTTAAGCCTCTTAGTATAAAACAAATATTTTGATTGAGATGAGAAATCTGCTTCCTGGTATGTTGAAGAACCAATAGTTTGCATCCAAACATTTAATTAAACGGTCTTAGTTTTTGGAAATATATAAGCTCACGAATGAGCCTGGAATGGCTTGAGAATGGCTTTGTCTCCATTCCAACCCAGGTTTAAAGCCTTGCAGGGCAGCCTAAAGCCCACTGCTCTCATTAAGAAAGAAAAAAGAAAGAAAAACGGTCAGTTCAGGTGTTTTACAAACATTTTCTTTTCTTTTTTTCTACATTTTTTTTTTTTAAGTCAATGTATAACATGGATGCATAAAAACTAATTTTATTTCAATGTTAAATTCTGTTTAAAGTAAGAGATTATAATTGAAAATGTCTCCGGACCTTTACTGGTTGATGATTTTCTTTATTCGGACCCTGCGGCGGAGGGGCAACGGAGCGCATGTGGTTTGCATGCAACTTTTACCAGTTCCAGGATAAAATCTCTGCATGAGACGGTGACGTTCAAGCAGCGTTTACAGCTGCTATGTCCAGGAGAATAATACAGCCACAGGCCACCTTCACGTTGGAGCTTTTACAGAATACTTTCTAATCATCTGATCAAACATAATACTGTTGTAATGAATGAAATTGAAAGTGATTATCCAAAGAGTTTTAGGTAGAATGTATGTTGCTAGGCAATGGTACCGAACATCAGTCAACCGCAGAAAGAATTTACAATGTCAAAATGACGTCAAAATTAGGGGTGAAGGCCATTACAGCCTTCACCCATCAAAATGACGGCTATAGTAGATTGAAAATGGTTAAAATTAACAATTTTGGTTTTTCTGTTTTTATTTTATTTAAAAGAAAAAAAAAACTATGTGAAAATGAAGAAAATACAGAAACAGGAAAAGTCGGTTAACATGAGCAAAATATGATTCATGTAAATAAAGTTCTTTCCATTTAAAATCTCAGAACCATCAAAATGACAGACTTGGTAGTTCTGGTGTTGATGAGGTTGCAAACCTGTGGCAATGTCTCATTGAACACAGGGGAGGCTGAACCTCGTTAAATGCAAAATGTGTATCAACTTCATAAATGTAAACGTCTAAATAAACGTCTTCATCTTTCACGAGAGGGATTTTTTTTCTACCTCAATTCAAGATAGAAAAAGACAAATATTATATTTAATGTTTTTTTTTTTTATTATTATTTTTTATTAAATCTTACCTCCAGCTCTATGGCTTAGAACCTCATCTTTCTTTTACAACGGCTCTCAAACTGCCAGTAGAAAACCTCATTTTTTTGTTTCTATCATTGTTTCTGTTTACAGCTGTTGCCATTGCTGCAGCTTTTCTCCTTTGCATGATTATTTCAAGTTGTGCTTTGGTCTAATTTCTGATTTGTCTAATTTTTAAGTTTTGCAGGACTGTTGCTTTTAATTCATGCTTTTAAGGGGCGTCTGCACCACACAGCCACAATATTTAACGCCTTTAATGAGGCATATCTAATGTATTTCACTCTAAAAAGAGAAAGCAGCTTCAACCTAAATTAATTGTTCCAGTTCGTTAGAAATAATTGAATTAGGTTCATCCAACCTCACTTTTTTAAGATGGCTTAACTTTTTTTTAACCTATAAGCAAAATAAAGGAGTTGTATTTTCTTTTTAGAGGGTGTATCCTTCACCAAACCAAAAAATAGTCAAATTTTTTCGCTCCTTTGTGGGAAAGGTTTTTGCTTTGGATGCATTTTATCCTTTTAACAGTTCTACAAGTATGCTGAAAAAAATAATGCTACTGTATTTTGGCATTTATTTATATTTTTTTAACACAATTTTTTATCGTGTTAGCAGGGTAGGACATAAAACAATTGTATTAAAGTAACTAAATGTGATTAAGTAAATGACAAATGCGGTAGCATTATTTTTTCAGAATAAAACTACTTCAACTATTTAAAGTTCTGAAGTTCTCTTCAGTTTAACCTTCATAACCTCCATGAATTTGATTTTCTTTCTTGAAATTTTCAGTCATTTCCTCACATGTTGATTAACCTTCCCCTGTAGTGACTAATGTTTGGTTTTAGTGCATGAATCTATGTGTTAATTAATGCTGCATGGACTGTTTCGGTTTTTCTGTGTTTAATTAACTCAGTTCGCTGAATTTGTACCACTGATATGACTTTGTGCATTTTTGTGCGTTCCTGTGTTTGTGTATGCGTGGACGCTCAGGTGCCTCCACCCAGGATTCAGACGCCATGGAGCCAGAGAAGCAGGTGGACGGCACAGTAAAGATGGCAGGCGTGATCGCTGGGATCCTCATGTTCATCATCATCCTCCTCGGAGTCATCCTCACCTTCAAGCGCAGGTATGGAACGAAGCTAAACTCCAGATGAGGAGAAGCAGTGTAGAGACCTCTGCACATGGGAAGTGGGCTGGTTGATGGAAAGGAGTATTTCATGAAAGTATTAAATGAAAGATATGAACCAAAGCTGGTTCCATAGAAGCACAGAAAAACAGCACATAGAGAACTCAGCATCCTTACTGTCCCTTTCAACCGTAGTGAGGATTCAATCAGCTCTCCGTTAAAATAAGGATCAGAAATATGAAGGGAATTTTGATCTATTATTGTTGCAAAGAACACATTTTTAAAATGAATATTTGAAAACCAAAAAAAATAAAAACGGAAAATGAAACTAAGAACTCCTTAATGAATAAAATAGGTTTGCTCTTTTTTTATTTATTTCAAGTTTCACAAAAATATATATTTTTTTCAGATTTCGTTTTTTTAAACTTAACTTATTTCATTTCGTTTTTTAGATTTTTATATTCTCTAATTTCGTTTTTTTCCCCCCTCTTTTTTCAGATTGATCTTTACAGGTTTTATTTTCAAATTGTATTTCTTAGATCAGATTCTCAAATGAGTCTTTGCTCTAGAGGAAAGCCCACAACCAGATTTAATAAGAATGCAATTTATTTCAAATATATATCTGAAAAATGTTTTTTGAGCAACTGAAAAAATAAATAGAAAAATAAAGATCACATTTATAATTTTCTGTCACAGTAGGGTGGAGGTTTGACTTGACCACAATATAGACACTGAAGCTGAAGTGGCTTCTTTAAGATTTTATAACAAAAACTGTAACAGAAGCAGAAATCCAAATCATAAATCCACAAAAACTTAGAACAAGGAATACTCACAAAAAAGGGGCAAAGAAATTACGACAAAAGAAAACTAAGCAAACATGCAAAACATGGATCAAAGTGAAAATGAAAACTAAAAAAGAAAACTTAAACAGAACCAAAACCGTGGCATTTTGTAAAAAATAAAATATGGAAATGCATTTCTATACAGTTAAAATTGGATGAAAATAAATATAGAGTACAATAGAATGGAATAGAATAGAAAATCCCTCCATTGTCCCACAATGGGGAAATTCTGGTGTTTACAGCAGGAAAAAGATGATAGAAGAAAAAATGGTCACACAAAAAAAATATATATATAAGAATAACACAATAGTGAAGAGTTTAAAATAAACTATAAAATACTGTATTGTAAAGTGTTGTAACAATATAGTATAAAAAAATGAAATTAAATTAAATATAAAAAATTTGAAACAATAATTTTGTCAAATTTGGTTACTCTGAAAACTACAATTTGTGCTTTTTCCAACCTCCCTTGGAAAAAGCTCCCTGAAAAAAAAAATTGTTTTTGAAACATTTTGATCTGTTCCTTTTTCTTCTTTTTAGTTCCCTTTCAGGGCTTCCATGCTTTTTAAGTTGTTCACAATTTTTCAACCCAACAAAGTCATTTTAAGGCACTTGACATAACAAGCAGGTCTCAGTAAAAACTAAAAATAAAATTGATTTAGGATTTTTAGTGTGATTTCTGGATCACCTTTTTTTCAAACAAAATTTTTTTATTGCAACAATAATGGAACAATATTCCCTCCATAGAGATATCTCCGATTCAATTAAAACACAAAGAATCAAACTTCTGTAAATAACTTGGTTTATTGTGTTGTTATTGGGTCCATTCACATGGCGCTGTCTTGGCTGTTTCTTACCAAGGCTGCAAACCCATGGCTAGCATGGCGCGATCCTCAGGGTGGAAATGATGTCCTAATGATGTCTGGGAGGGTTCAGCCAGATTGGGTGCCATGACACCGCTGCCTTGTGTCATAAGATTGCCGCTTATGACAGACGCCCTGTGGTGCAGAATAATGTCTTGTGGTGGCAGAATTAATGGCGGTAATGGCCTTCACCCTGAAGACAGTTTTGCAAATTTATCATTAAAAGTGACGGCGCCTTTAGACCGTTAAGGTTTTACATTTAGGATTAACAAGGAGAGTAAACCAGCCTGAATGTTGAAGATTCATGGAAACACCTGCACAATATGTGTGACTTGGCCGCTTTAAGGAGCCACAGCTTCCTATGTGCAAAGGGCAGAAAGCTGCCATGTGTGAGATTTAAAAACATATTTAGCTTTTTCACCTCTGATTAGACCTATGGTGGCCTCTGTGGGTCAATTTGTGTCCAAACCTTAACATTTGGAAGGAAATAGAGTGAAAGGTCCTGTCATCCAAGAGGCTTTATTGTCTACAGGAGATTCATTCACTTATTTTACAACTGATAATTATTTTATTTAACGTCAACAAGTCAGAAAAAAAGAAAAAAACAAAGAGTTATTTCCTTTAAATTGTTCAGCAGGACCTTTTACAGGAATCTCAGTCAAAAATTTTATCAGATTTTTGGACCAAATTCTTTGCCATATAAAATAATTCTGTATAAAATACAAACTACCTGCAATCTTGATGTTTTTCATGTCATTAATTGCAAAAAAAACAAAACAAAAACAAATGTAAATTTGATGGTTGTTTGAAATGTCATAGCCGTTAGGGACAGAGCTTATAGATCTGTGTCCTCATTAGGCCCTTCTATCTGTTTAGTGACGTAAGAAAAAGCAAAACCTCAAAACCTTATGTTTATATACAGGAAAAATAAAAAATCAGAGCAGAGAATGAGACTAAATAAAATAAGACAAGTTAAATCTATTGATCTTTTGTTCAGGCTTCAGGTTCAGAGTTAAACACATTCCTACGTCCTCTAGGCTGAACTTGCACAGCAGCTGCCTCCATCGCCGTCTCTCTTCCCCTCACTCTTTACTCCATTATTCCCTCATTCTGCTCACGCTCTGTGTTTGATTTCTGTTTGGTGTTTGATGGAATAATCATTTTTGGTTTTTAGATATTTTCCCATTTCACTAACAGGTGTTACTGTAAATATTTAAGTTTTACTGAAAATGCAGATTGTTTCCTCTGAACATCTACATTCTAAAATATGTGGAACCTGATGAACGGTTTATGTTTACAGAAGAAAAACTGAAAATATGTCACATAAAATGTTTAAATATAGCTTAAGAAATAATTTGTGTAAAAATCCAAAGCATTAAAGATTACATAATTGCTTTTATCAGCACATTGGCAAAGTGGAATTCTACGGAATCCCTGAAAATTAAGTAAAGAAAAATATCACACACCAGAATATTAAAAAAGCAGGTAGGAAAAAAAAAAAAAAACAGACTAGCCTATAGTTATTATTTTTGTTTAATTTATTTTGTTAAGCCTTGAAGGTATATGATTATCAAGAGAAATTTCATTTGTAGGGGTTTATTTTATAAGCTTTATTATTGTATTATTTTACTCTGCCACAAGAGGTACTGGAGTAAAACAAGCGCTCTATTACTGAAATGTTTAGTTGAAATCAAATATTGGTTAATTTCCCAAAATCTATTTTTCTATTAACACTTAATAAAAAAAATAAAAAGAAGTTTGATGAAAGATAATTGGCCAAAATTTGGGGTTGATTGAGTGATTTATCAGTTGATTAAATCATTGATTTATAGGTGTCGGAGTGCAGGCTGCAGGGATCGAACCTGGTACTTGCAATCTTGTCAGAGGACAAGTGCAATGCACTTACCACTAGGCCAACGCTCTAGCCTCGTGAGACCATCCTGATCTCGCGAGGTTTCAAGATTTCACTCGCTAATCAGTCTGGAGACTCTCCGTTGAAGAAAATTTGGAGCCGTTCACCAAACGAACGTCCAATCAACGTTGGCTTTGAGGCGGGTTGAGGTGTGACGCAACGAGAAGCGTGACAGTTCAGTCTAAAGAACATGGCGGCTATAGCTGATGAAACTAGCGTTAGCGTGGCTATCGAGCAAGTTTTATCGGAATTACAGAGTATTTCTTCTCCCGACTGGTTTCGGCAAGAGTAGCCTGGCTTGTGGTTGTATTTTCGTCGTCGCTCTGTTAGTACGTCATATGCTTCGTTGATCTGATTGGTTTATTTGGCCCGTCTATCACCAACATAGGCCAATCAGCTAAGCAGTATTTTCGCCCCTTCCCAAAATTACTTCAACTGAAGGTTTCCAGATGGATATGCAGAGCAAATCCATCTGGGGGAGTCAGGTTACCAACGCTCCCCCAAAATAAAATAAAAGATAACCTAGAGTAGTGAAGCAAGATCTGACTTTTGACTATTTTATTGAACAATACAGGTCTAAATGAAGGCCTACTTAACAAAACAAAACAAAAAAAAATCAAGTTTGTGTTTTTTTTTTTTTTTGTTTTTTTTTTTTTTTTTTTTTTTTTGTAACTTCCCTTCAGTGCCAAAAAAAATTATTTGAAACATTTTTCTTTTTTTTCTTTTACTTGCGTTTCAGGGCTTCCGTATTTTTCAGTTTGTTCACAATTTTTTAACCAAACAAAGTGATTTTAAGGCACTTGACATAACAAGCAGGTCTCAGTCAAAATTAATTTTTAAGAAATATTCCCACAAAAGAGTTACTGGTCTTTGCAGTCTTAAAACCTTTGGAGAGGAAAGTAAATAATCTTTTAGTGAGCAGGTTTTTTTCTCATGAACTATAGATTCATTAAAGAAATATTAAATATGCTGTTTATTAGTCAGTATTTCATTACTTTATAGACTCTACCTTGATTTTTTCCTCTCCCTATCAGGGGATCTTGGAGCTTTAGTTTTAAAATCTGAGGGTTTGCATCATCAGGCAGTTCCTGTAGCATCTGACAGTGACAGCAGTGACGCCTTATTTACATTTTGGACAGCATTATTAAAATATAATCAATTTGATTCTGCTTATTTTGTGAATAATGTAATTTCTCTCATAAAAGTTTATAAAATGTGCCAGGTTCATATTGATCTTTTTATTTATTTATTTTTACCGATTGAGCTGTATAATGAGGTCTTATTTATGTTGGAGAAGCAAACTTCAGGGTCCAATCAATTTTTCTGAAGGACTTTTACAGAAAAAAACAGACTTTGATTTGCTTTTTATCAATGCACTGGTAT